TTGAGACAAGAAATCCCTGGACTTGCTGGCCAGACAGTCAACAAACTCCAGGTTCAGTGAGAGACCATATCTCAAAAAATTTAAGTGGGAAGTAATTGAAGAAAACACCTGATGTACATGATACACATGCATAAGCACAGGCATGTACCTGCATGAACATATGCCTAAACAACACATGCACCTGCATATATGCATATGCATATACACACATACACAAAAAAAACTGAAAATTTGAGGAAGGGATAGCTCCTGGTAAGTTTCCCCTGTCACATTTCTTACCTGGGTTGGGGATTGGTGCTCATCTGGGAGCACCCGCCCCCCAATTCCTGAGCACTAGCCAGAGATGGTAGGTAGTAAAAGGTCCTAGGGTCCCCCATGTCATAACACCATCACCCTCAGCCTGTGTGAGAGCTAAGCTGTCATAGCCGTGGTAGCTGCAAACCTTCTAGAAGCCATTTGGAAATGTTTTATGGTATGTAGGGTGCAGAGGCTCTAGCTGAACAAATGGAACAATCAGTCTCCTCAAAAATATCTGAGGCAGGTCATTCCCTGCACCCAGTTCTCAAGTGTAGTTAACACCCACAGTCACTTCCCTTACCATGGCAAAGGGTCACCATTAAAATGGTGACCCAGAGATAAAGCTTCCCATGGTCACAGCATTCAACAAACACTGTCCTTGGACCATACCTGCCTCCAAGCAGCAAACACCCAGCTATGAAGTTTGCTGAGTGGAAGTGGACTGTCCCCAAGCACAGCTGACCCAAGTGTCCTCTGGCCACCACAGCTTGTCTTCTGCCCCCACAGCTGGCAGGCCTTCTAGAGGGCTGGCAATGTGTTTGTCCCTTGTTGAAAGACTGTTTTTCTAGCTCTGTTTTCTAGATTTCTGAGCTCCTCACAGCACATGGTGAACTGTGATGCTGGAGTGGAGGCACTGTGTTCGGCTCTCTCTTCCTCCTTTTTGAACCCCTGTGTCACACCCCATGTTGCCAGGCTGGCCTTGAACTTAAAATCCTCTGGCCTGGGCCTCTGGAGTTAGGCATGAGCCATCATGCTGGTCCCTTTGCTGTTGTTTTGGTTCCCTTTTTCCTTCACTTCATTCATTCACACATTCATTTAATGCATTCCATTCTTTCATGACAGATTTACTATAAATTAGGTCACCACATTGGGAGCTAAGGATCCCAGGCTACAGCACAGGGCAAGCACTCATCTTCTAGCCCTGAGGCTAGAGAGCCATACAAGTGGCAGTGTGAGGGGCACAGCAGGGCACAATGGGTATGCAGAGGAACTGAGAGCTGGCACAAGCCACATCTAATCCACGACCTGATCTAGCAGGAATGGGAAGAAGAGTCCAGGGGAAGAAGGTTCCAGAGCACAGGTACAATGCAAAGATCCCAGGCACAGGGCACCATGGCAGTGGGACTGGAACCAAGCTATGGCTAGAGAAACCAGTGGGGGTGAGATTGCAGAGGCCTGGATCGCCGTGACAAGGACAAGGAGGTGCATCTGGAGGGTGACAGAAAAATCTGGCATGATGAATGAAAACAAGAACTTAAAAAAGAACACCCACCCACACCCACCCACACCCACACCCACACCCACACACACTCAGGCTATAAAGGCTTAACCATTCTCTACCTACAGCCCTGGCCACCTTCGAGCAGAGGCCTCAAGCTCAAGAGGCCCAGCACCACTGGGAATGAGCAATCTAGCCTTCATGTTAGAGCCTGGAGGTGGGCCGGGAGGAGGGTGGCCATGACTCACAGGGGCCTGAAAATAACTCCAGGGACTGAGCCAGCTCTAAAACATCAGTTACTGCCTTGGCCTTGTTTTTTTAAGGGGAGAAGCCAGAAATAGAGTGGGGGGTCTGGTGAATAAGATAATAAATACCCTCCGGCACCTTTTGGTGACAGATTACCTCCCAGGTCATGAATGAGTCACCAAATCTTAAACCTCAGGTGAGAGAACAAAGTTGACAAATGTGTCCAGCTACTAGAATATGGAGCGGCACTTGACACATCAGCAAGCTCTGGGTTTTACTGAGAGGCCCTGACTCAAAGATGTGGTGGACAGTGATGGAGGAAGATTTCCAGTATCAACCTCCGCATGCACACATGTGCACCTACATGCACATATGCCACAAACATACACAGAGAAGAATTTTTTTAAAAAGGCAAAAGATCAAAGGGCCCAAGTGATAAGGCAGGAAGAAAGGTGAGGTCAGGCATAGCTCAGAATAACAAAAGGAAGTAGGGAGGGAACACATTCATTAAAAAGAACCATGCATCCAAAAAATCACACCTTCAAAATGCTTCAGTGGGACTGTGGCGTCTTCAAAATTCAATTCATATTTTCAAATTTTTGTAAAATTTATTTATTTTTATTTTATGTGCATAAATTTTTATTTTATGTAAATTTTTATTTTATGTGTATGTGCCTGCATATATATAAGTGTACCCATGTCATTCAGTACCTGTGGAGAACAGAAGAGGGTATTTGATTTCCTGGAACTGAAGTTAGGGATGGTTGTTAGCCACCATGTGGGTGCCTGGATTCAAACCCAGGTCCTCTGCAAAAGCAGTCAGTGTTCTTAACTGCTGAGCCATCTCTCCAGTCCCCACTTCGTATGTTTATGAGATTAAAGAAAACAACGTTTTCATTAGAAATTACATTTCATTAGAAAACCTGCTAATGCCTTGCTGTTATTTTTGGAGGGTGACCAAGAAGAGTTGACCTTTGACCTCTCTGACCTAGTACCTAGGTAACAGGCTTGAATGATGCATAGTGTGCAATACATCAGTCACATGCAGCCCTGCTGAGTTTGCAGGGTGCTAAGGAGACCCTTTCCTGAGCATTCTTACCCCTATTTCATGACCAAGAATACAGCCTAATTTTTCAAGTTTATGTCAAATACAGAGGTTTATTTTTTTTTTACAGTAGTATAATGGAGAACAAGACAGCCCGTTTAAAAATGTTCATGTGTTCATGTATTTGTTTATTTACTTGCACGTGTATATATCTGTGTGAGTGCATGCACACACATGTATGTTGGTGTGCATGCCACTGTGTATGCATGGAAGACCAAAGGTAGAGGCCAGAAGAGGGCATCAGGTGTCCTCCTCCATCCCTTGTGGCAAGGTCTCTCCCTGAACCTGGACTCGGTTTTCTTTGCTAAGCTGGAAGTTATCAAACCCCAAAGATCTTCCTGTCTCTGCCTGTCTTGCTGGAATCTAAACTCTGGTCCTCATAATTTGGCAGCAAGCACTCCCAACTGCTTAGTCAATTCTTCAGGCCCTATTTTCCATTATGTAACAAAACACCAGTGGCTGGGTACTTTATATAGTAAAGAGGTTTGCTTGGCTCAGAGTTTTGGAGGTCCCCTGATGAGGCCTTCATGGCTGTAGCACATTACAGTGGGTACCATCGTGCTAAGAATGTGGAAGAGGACTCAGTGGCATATGCAGAAGGTGTCAGCTGACAAGGAAGCAAGACGGCAGAGAGGTGACCCCCATCTTACAATAACTCATAATGACTGACTCTTTGGGGAACAACCAGAAATCAATTTACTTCAGGAGACTGACAGTAATCCCTTCATGAGGGTGGTCATGACCAGTCTGCTAGACCCCATGACTTAAAGGTTCTGACCCCTTTCAAGAAATACTGTTACACTGGGGACTGTGATGGTTGACTTGACTGCCATCTTGACAGGCTCTAGAATGACCATAGAAACAAATCTCTGGGTGTGGCTGTGAGGGAGTTTCTAGATGAGGGTAATGAGGCGGGAAAACCCATCCTAAATGTAGTGGAGCACCAGCGCTCACCGCCGTCTACTTCCTGACTATGGCACAGTCACTGTCTGATCTTCCCACCATGATGGACAGCATCCCTGGGACTGGGAGTCAAAACAAAGCCACCCTTCCTTAAGTTGCCTTTGTCTGATATTTTGTTACAGCACCAAGAAAAGTAACTAACACAGAGACTAAATTTCTAGTGCATGAACCAGGGGGTGGGGGAGGCATAGTGAATCCACACCAGCTTCCCATCCAGCAATAGGCACTGTCTCTGATCCTCATTGTGGAAGGGTTCTCTCTGGCAATTGTGGAAGGGTCTCCCAGGCAGCTCTAAGCATTTTTTTTAAAGACTGTTCATCTTTCAAAATGGTGCATTCCAATAATCAACAACTCCACACAAACATGAAAGCCACCATTTTTGTCAAGGAATTTGGTAACATCTAGAAAACATCTCCCAAGAAAGTGACCCTGAACACAGAGACAACACAGTTCTCAAAATCTAACACCCTTTCTGTTGCAAAGGCCGCCTCTGGCAAGGGGCTGAAAATAAATCTCTCTCCATGAAACAGGAAATGATTTTGGGGGACAGAATTAAACTTCAGTAGTTTTTCTTCCTTTTTTCAATCGTGCTTTTGTTTGCAGCTTCAGCTGGGAGAGAGCAAGTGCATACATTTAGTTTGGAGTTTATGAGTTCATATTTTATAATTAACGTTGCCAACAGGGGAGTTTGATTAATACCAAGCAGTGGATTTTGAGCAATGTTCCATACAAATTGCCAAATTTAGCAATAAAATAAATTGGTTATGTGAACATAATTAGTAGGACGACTACTTAAAATTCAAAACTGAATGTGAATAATTCCAAATCATCTGAGCCACAAATTCATTATTTGTGTAGAAGGGGAAAGTAGAGCATTTGGGTTTTATTTTGCTTTCAACCACATGTTATCCACCACCAAGCTGAACATAATGAAAGTTCTAGGAAGGGTTGGGACAATATTTTAGAGCAACCCAGAACCGTGCACATACACGCACACGTGAGCACACAAAGGGGAAGTACTCAAGATTAAAAATGCTAAACTGTGAATTTTCATTGCAAATGTAAAAATCTATAGGAAAGTTTTCAGCCGGCGCTGCAGTACCTTTGTGTTACACAAACTCTAGCGTGCACTCCCTCGGCAGAGCTTTTTCCCCTCATTGTTCACGGTACCTTATTGTCACCCTGGACTTCGCCAAGCCTCTGCTGAAGTTCTTTAATTTCTTCTCCCAGATGTTTATTTCGGTCCTGAGACTCTCTCAAGAGTTGTGCAAGATTAGCCTGAAAATACCAACATACCATAGCAGCAGTCAGAAGGGAAGCATGGATAAATGGAAGCTTTCCTGGCCTGAGAGCAACTGTAAGGCTGTAAGGCTGCAAGGCAGCCATGCTGTGACAGCTAAAGGATCGGGGAATGAGGCAGACAGTGAGCCTCGGTTTGGGGATGTTCTTTGTTTCCAGAACTGCTCACAAGGGCACACAAACAAGCTACAGAGGAGTCAATCAAATTTAATTATTTCATAAATTGCATTAGAGTTCATCTCTAAAATGTCCATTTTGGGGACTGTGGAGATGACTCAGTGGGTAAAAGCACTTGCTGTTCAAGCATGAGGATCTGAGTTCAAATCCCAGCACTTCATAAAAAGCCAGGTATGGCTGTGTGCACAGATGTAACACCAGTACCATGGGGACCAGAATCAGGATCATTGGGGCTCACTGCCACCAGCCTAACTCCAGATTCAGTGAGAGACCATGTCTTGAGGAAATAAAGCAGAAAGTGATAGAGCAGGGTACCTGATGTTCTCCTCTGGCCTCTACGTCTGCATGGGCACACACACATGTACAAACACATCCCCAACACATGTAATAAAATGCCCACTTTGAAAATGGATAGAGTTCAGTTCTCCTGTAGAAAATGGTTCGTTATCATGGTTACATAATTGCTCCCCCTCCTTTAAATGTGTCTTGTTAAATGAGCTTTTCTTTGCTACCTCAATGCCTAGAATTTGTATGAATAATTGTGTATTTGCACATGTGTGCAGGTCTGCATACATGTGTGTGCACAGGCATGTGGAGGCCAAAGGTTGATGTCAGGTCTTCTTCAATTGCTCTCCACCTTACTTTTCTTTTCTTTGAAGCAGGGTCTCTCATTAAACTGGAAGGTCACGAATTCCACTAGACTGGCTGGCCAGCAAGCCCCAGTGATCTTTGTGTTTCTGACCCCTCAACACCAAGATTACAGGTGTATGATGCTGCGTGTGCTTTTATACAGAGTTGAGGATCATACTCAGGTCCTCATTCTTTTCCTGCAAGCACTTTACCACTTGAGCCATCTCCCCAACCTGAATGTCCAGAATTTTTATTGCAATTCTAGAAGGCAGCCATTTCCAATATCAGGGTCCAGTCATGACTCTTCAGTTTTCTGGACTGACTCCCACTTCCTCATTCCCTTACTCTGGTTCATGTGGTACCAGAGACCCAGGTCCATTGCTTTCCATAGCAACCTGCAGGATGCCACCCCATCTCCTGCCCTGCTCCTGTACCGACAAGCTTCCCCTCCTGCAAGCTTTGCCTTCTGCCTAGACCCAGGGTCTGCTCTGTGGATGAATCATCTGGCCAGCCAGCTCCATTCATCCGCCCAGAGCAGCCCTGCTGACACTTCCTATCCAGCTCCCCCACATTCCTGACCCTCACCCAGCTTCATGCCTCCATCTACTCGGCCTTCAGTTTGCTCTTCCAGCTCATCCCCTCTTCTACAGAAAGCTGTCCTTATTTTGCTAACCATTACTTGTTCTGATTCTCACCTCTCTGATCACGCTTTCATCTACCTTTGGCAAAGACATGACCAGCAAGTTAAAAAGTGACGGTCACATGGGGCTTGTGTATGGGCAAGTGTCTAGAAGCCTCAGGATGAGGGTAAAAGAAGGAGGGAAGGTGGGGAGCAAGCGAGTGTCAGAAGCTGGTGTCTGCCCAGGAATCACTCCAAGAGGCATGCAGAGAGATTAGTCTCCCGATTCCTTCATGTTGAAGCTGTGGAAATCCAAATCAGAAATATAAACAGATAGCCCACCTTTAGTGGCTACATCTCCAAAGACTTCAATGCCAAATTAATACTTTGGGGAATAAGTATATTGGGTAGAAAAAGGGAGCAAGAGACATACTATGAAGAAGAGACTGTCACTTGTCTCTGACCCCCTTCATCCTGCCTCCACAGCCCATTGGGATGGCCTTCTGTGTTTACCTCCAAAGTCTCCCAACCTTCATGCTGACCTCTTCTGTCCCACACACCTGGCCTGATCCTATGTCAGTGCCTGCACCCTGAGTCAGCTCTCTCAGGCTTTTGCATAGAGGTCACCATCCCCACAGGCCCCTGGACTACTGATTTGACACAGCCAGCCTCCTCTTCGCTTCTGTGCCTTTTGTCCGAGGCTCAGGCCACCCTCTAACATACCATATAATTTACTTCATGGTGTATCGCTTACTCTTTACTTCCTGCCTCCCTCTCCTTGCAAAAGCATAAGTTCCATGAAGGGCAAGGAACTTGGTTCTCTCTCCTCCTCTCTGCCAAGCTCCTGGCAGATGCTCCCTAACACAGCGAAAAACAGAAGATGAGGGGCCTGGCTGAGGGTTCTGGTCTCAGCCTCAGGAGGGATCTGCAATCCCAGCAAAAAGCACTGAAACCAGCCTCAACTGGGATAGCCCCTCCTCCCCATGTGCTCTGGGCTCCTCTCAGTACAATCTCCATTCCACAAGGCTCATACCTTGCAATATCCTGCTTCCTATTTTCCCAGAATTCTGTTCTAATGAGATTAAAAAGTTGGTGATGGATGAGGAAGAGTAGTCTCCCTTTTGTAGGTAGAAAAAAAAAAGAAACTATGGAGCCCAACTAGCTATCTGTGGAAACTTTTCTGGGTAGAGTCAAAGTTACACCCCAGTTTTATGTGAGTGACCCATGTGAGTCCCTTGAGTCTCTCCATCTGTAGAATAGAGCTAACACTGCACTTTGCACCTTCTATGTGGCAACCTGACACACAGAGAACACAGAATGCCCAACCCCAGGCTTGGCACCCAGCAGGTGCAGTTTAAAAGCCCCTGGCTTTAACTCCCCCTGGTTCTAAGTCAAGCACCCAAGGGACAGTTATAGGGACAGGCTCCTTTTTGGCCACAGCTGGCTTTTCCCTGCCCCTACCCTGTTTGTTGTTCACTCCAAATGTTTATTGTGTGCCTACTTTGTGTTAGGCACTGTCTTAGACTTGGAGATCAAATAGTAAACAAAATAGACAAAACCCAGTGCCCCCATGAACTCACATGGAACTGATTACATTACATGTTACATTACACTGCAGAAGAGTCAAGGATGGCTCACTAAGTAGGTATTAAGCACTCTAAAGAAAAACAAAACAAGCACAGGGAAGAGTGTGGGGAATAGCCACACTGAAAGATTCGGAAGAGGAGAGTGTGAGCCCCATTGGGCATCCTGGGGGAAGATCCAGGCAGGGAAGGGGTATCCCCCACCTCACATCTCAAACTTCTTTGGGGGAGAACAGTTTAAGGGCACAGGACAGACTGGCTGCAGGCACTACAGTGGAAATGAGAGATGTTCTTGATTGACATCTCCTGGTTCCCTCCCAGGCAGTGACCTCTGCCTTTCTTCCACCCAACTCCAGAATGTTCCTAGAGATTAACTCATGGATCCTCTCAGTAAGCTAGCAGCAACATGCATCTCCCTCTCTCCCAGATGGAAAGACAGGCGCCAGGCAGGAAGGGATGGCCTCTGGGGAGTGAGCTGCTGCCTGCCACCTGCACCTTCCTATCAGCAATAACAAACACTCAAGGAGCACCAAAGAGCAGAGCCTGCCACATCCCCAACCTTCCCTTTTTGAATCAATAATGGTTTGAGCCCCTGAGAGGTGGGGGTGGAGTGGGAAGATCCTGACCCTCAGAGACCACTGCCACTATGGTAGCTAAACTGGAGCGATTCAATCTAATGGTAGAAGAGTGGAGTTCTTCAATCCATCCCCGACCAATGCTTTTGTGTAAGATGTAACCAATATGAAGTATTAGGAAAATGAATTTTAAAAAACCTCCGCATAAAACCCCAAGTGTTTATTGTCAGCCTCAACAGACATAAAAGTGTGCTGTCAGATGGTTCTAAAAGCCTCTGAATGCTTGCTCCCAATTTCTGGGTCTATCTTGTCATGAACCAGATACAATTAGGTTACATCCTGGCACCAGACCTGGGGCCTCACGCTGGGAAACACAGACCTCAGAGCTCCTGAATGTTTGGACACAGAGAAGAATGGATACCAGGGGTAAACGCCAAAGATACTAGAGAAAGCTGGGACAGAGGCCTGGGCTGTCCCAGGAAATGAATCCAGAGAACTAGAGCCAGCGATTACCAGACATTATTTACTCTGCAGCGCATCTGAAAAGAAAGTGACCAAAATACAGCCAGGCATTCCTCTGTCACCCACAAACCATGGTCATGGAGAATCACAATACCGTCAAGCTGTGAGTTCACAGTAAATCTATCTGAGCCTTGAACTTGACCCCTGGGGTAGCAGTGGGAAGGGGAGGAGTCCCTGCCTTAAAGCAGGTGACTGTCATTTTCTTTTGCACTTCACAGTTGGTAGGGGTTGTCAACACAGGATTCTTTTCTATTCAAGCCTTCCACCTCCTCAACTCCAAAACAGTAACTTTGAAAACCAGAAAATGACTAGTCTGCTGGGTACCTAATTCTTTGACATATACCTTAAAGGAAAAAAAAAAGTACATTTCAAAGAGCTCAGAAAGAATAGAGGAGGAAAGTTCACACAATTCTTCTGACCAAAAATAACACCCATGACTCACATGCTCACTGTAACAATCCATCAAGCGAGCAGGCGGTACCTGCTTATAATTTATCAGCTATGCAGAATGCTTTGTCTCCGTGTTATTGAGAAGGACTCTGTGACCATCAGTTTCGAATAGCATTCTGTGAAGGAAATGTCAGGGAGAATGGAGCAGCCAGCTTAGCCTAGCCAGTGTTGCACAGGCAAAAGAAACAGGCCCAAGAGAGCATTTCTCCATGGGGGGTGGGGGACATCCATAGAAAAGCGTGAAAAGGCATACAAAGGGGCCTCTTTTAAATATTCAGATTGACCAGGGCCCACATTAAAGGTTGACATTTTTGCTTGGTTAATAGGAATGCTGAATGCAGCAGGCAGACTGTAGAACCCGCATCTTTAAGTCACTCTAGCTAGGAGCTGATTTACTAAAATTGTGGTGCAGGGCCAGTAACA